CATTCATGTTTATTATATTGCATTTGCATCCAAAAATCCCAAATTTTTTTCTTTAGAGTCTTAATTAGTTGAGTAATCACATAATTGTTTAGCGTTGTGAGTCTCTTGGAAAACGATACTTGGTCTTACCATTTATTATTACTTGAACTGATTCGGTACACTTGTCGAGGTCTTAACAAGTTTTTGACTCTATTTTCGGGGATTAAAAATTTGTTTATCAAGTTTTTGGCGCTGTTGTCAGGGATCAAAAATTTTATTTATCAGGATGCTAGGAATTGCATGAAGTGGTGAGTAAGGACAGGCTTAGTCGCCGAGGGATCGGGTTTAGGTAATTTAGTGAGTGATGTTAACATTAATGCATAAAGAAGAATTCTTACATACATGAGAGGGAACATGGTGAAATCTAACGCCAACAGCATACTTTTCTCATATTAAACAACATTCGTTCATCTTTGTGTTACTCTATTACTGATGATTTTGAATTCATATTTAATTTTTTGTTCTTGCATCTTAAACCAATGATTTCATTTTACTTAAGTTTTAATTAATCGAGTCATCACACAACTGTTAAGTGCCAAGAGTCTTCTGGGATACGATACTTGGTCTTACCATTTTATATTACTTGTGCGATTTGGTACACTTGCCAAACCATCAACAAGTTTTTGGCGCCACTACCGGGGATCAAAAATGTTATCAACAAGTTTTTGGCGTTGTTGCCAGGGACTCACGGTTTAAACTATTCTATTTTGTGTGATTCTTGATTAACTTTAAATAAATTTTTATTTTTATATTTTTATTGTTTATTTTTATCTTTTTTTTTAATTTGTATTTTGTGTCGTTTGTTTTGTTTTTGTGCTAACAGTGTTTTCTAGGGTTTTGTGTCTAGTTTATGCAGGATACAGTTAGAACAAGGAGCAACAAAAGTGTTGAACCTCTTCTTGAAGGACTTGAGACTAGTAGGAGGCCAAGAAGAAGCAGATTATCTAGAGAACCTTCTCTAGAAAGAATTTCACAGGCCTTACAATCTGATCAGGAAAGCGTGGACAACAATGATGCTAGGTGTACTTTGGCAGATTATGCAACAGTGATTGGCCCTCATCATTTTAACAGCATTGCAAAACCGAGGGTCAATGCCGCAAGTATGGAGATGAAGCCTGCGTTGATCCATCTAGTAAAAAGCAATCAGTTCAATGGACTGTCACATGAAAGTCCATATGAGCATTTGACCACTTTCAATGAGATTTGCAATACAGTGAAGCTGAATGGAGTGTCAGATGATGCTATTAGACTAAGCTTGTTTCCTTTCTCACTAGGAGGCAATGCTAAACTGTGGCTGAACTCTTTTCTTGAAAATAGCTTTATTGAGTGGGAAGATGTGGTTGCAAAATTTTTTAATAAATACTTCCCATAATCAAAGATCAACAAAGGAAAGCAGGAAATGTCTTCTTTCAGACAAGGCATGGAGGAGACATTAGGGCAAGCATGGGATAGATACAAAGGCTTGTTGAGAAAGACACCCACTCATGGTTTTGATGAAGCAACGACAATTATTCTTTTCCTTGGAGGTCTTGGCTTACAGACCAAATTGATGTTGCATGCCTCACCTGGAGGCAATATCAGGTGCAAAACTCACGAGGAAGCCTATGAATTAATTGAAAACATGGCTACCAATGACAATGAGATACACAATGAAAGAGGAACTTCATCACAACCTAAGGGAGTGCTACAATTACAATCTTCTAATGCCTTGCTTGTTCAAAATAAGATTATCACTCAATAGTTAGAGGTGTTGACAAAGAAGCTTTCTCTACCACCAAAGGAGTGTCGGAATGTCTCACAAGTTCAACAACAACTTTGTGAACAATGTGGTGGTGATCATAACAATGGTCAATGTGTTGTTCCTGAGAATATCAATGAAGAAGTTAATTACATGGGCAACCAGTTTCGTCCCAACAATTATAATCAAGGGTGGAAATCTCATCCTAGCATTGGACAAAGTCAGTTTGGGCAAACTGGTGGGCAATTTAATAGACTACCACAGCAGCAACAACAACAGTGGCAACAACAACCCTCTCTATCTGACAGAACTACAAAGCTTGAGGAGACTCTCCAACAATTCATATAGGCCAGTCTTTCCACTCAGAAAAGCACTGAAGCTGCTATAAGGAACATGGAGGTGTAGTTTGGTCAAATGGCTACGAAGTTGAAAGAGATGCCTATCAGAAGTTTTGGAGCTAATACTGAAGTTAACCCTAAAGAAGAAGAATTTAAGGCTATTGTGAGTATGAAAGATGAGAGAGAGAAAGAAGAAGAAAAGTTGAGTGAGAAAGAAAAAGAAGAGAGTGAGAGAAAAGAAAAAGATGAGAAGAAAATAGAGAGAAAAGAAAAAGAAAATTTGATAGTAAAAGAAAAAAGAGAGGATAGTGAGAGAGAAAAAATGAAGAGGTTTAGAGAGAAAAGAAAAATTAGAGAAAAAGCTCAATCACCCTCAAGAGTGTCCCAAAAAAGAAAAGAAAGACAATTAGAGTGCTTTGAGGAAATCTCTAGAGAATTGGGGATTAGAATTCCTGTGACTAAAGCATTGCAACAGATTCCTAAAAATGGTGAGTTTTTGAAGAAACTCCTCAAAAGAAAAGAATATTTAAAAGAGGAGACAATGGAGGTACAGGAAGAGTGTAGTGTGATCTTACAAAAGACACTTCCTCCTAAGGTTGAAGATCCAGGAAGTTTCACCATTCCCTATACTATTGGGAATCATAAAATAGGGAAAGCCCTAATCGATTTAGGGTCCAGTATTAATTTGATGTCTTTATCTGTTTTGGAAAAGATTGGTGGTCTTGAAGTCAAACTTGCAAGGATGACTCTGTTTATGGTTGATGGATCCACTAAAAAGCCTTATGGTATGATGGAAGATTTAATGGTTCAAATTGAAAATCTCAGATTCCTGGTAGATTTTGTGATAATGGAGATGGGGGAAAATTTGGAGATCCTTATTATTCTTGGAAGGCCATTCATGAAAATGGCCAAGGTAATCATTAATGTTGATGATGGAACTATAGCACTTAAAGACCAAGAAGAGGAGGTGATTTTCAATGTCTTCAATGCTGAGCAGTCAATCGAGGTGAAGACGACTAGTCTCAGAACTTCAAGTGGAGGTACACCAGAGACCAGTACTGAAGCTGCCAAGCTAGGTAAGAAAGGTAAAAAGTTTTTTTTGTCACAGGTAAAGGAGGAAGAAAAAGATAGCAAAGGAGAAAGTGTTCATCAGGATCCCTTGAAGAAAAATGAAGAATTTAGACCAGGCATTCCAGTGAGATTCAACAAAAAGCTATGGGTTGTGAAAGAACCCAGAATTGATGGACTGATAGAGATTGAATCTCCAATTTCCAGGAAAATTAAAAAGGTGAACAGGAAATCGCTGAAGCCCATTTGGTGTGGACAAGGAAAAATTAACACCAAGATCAAAGATGTGACATGAGCTTATTGGGTCAAGCTAGTGACGTTAAAGAAGCGCTTGCTGGGAGTCAACCCAGTGTTTTTACAAACTTTTATTTCTTTAGTGTCTGTTTGTGTGTGATTTCACTGTGCTTAGTCTGAATGTTTGACGGGTGAAGAGAGATGAATTGATTGATTTGAGAGTTGTTGTGAGGACTCGGAAAAGCAACTGAAAAATTCTAAGTTGAATCTGAGAACTCAGGGTCAGGACCACCCAAAATGAGCTAAAAAGCAAAGAGGGAAAAGTACCGCCCGACGCTTGAGCGCCCTCTAAGGGGCGCCCGAGCGGCGCGACTACAGACTTGGTGCAAAAATGGTTGAAAGAGAGGTTTTGTGAAGGGGGAAGAAGGGAAAAGTGGAGAGAACTCTTTGTAGAGTGCTTGAGAGTGTTTGGGAAGAGTGGGATCTGAAAGTGGCGGCCAAGACGCACCCTAGGGTATGAAAAAGACCTAATGGGCCAAATCCCGCTGAGCCCAAATTTTAAAAACCCAACCAGGAAAAATCTGCAACGTTGGCGCTCAGCGATAGCTACCGCTGAGCGGCATACGAAACACCCATTCTCCTTCTTCCTAGCTTGCCCTAAGCGTCCTTTACCAATGCCTCTCAACATCAACTCTCAATTTTTCAACTCTCATAAATTTTCCACTCACTACATAAACTCTTACTTAATCAATGCACTTAGTCTCTCACACCACTCAAACCTACAACAATGAAACCCTATAATGCAACTAGAACAAAACCCAAAACAAACAAAAACAAATTCAATCAACTCTTGCCTCCCAGGTAGCACTTGTTTAACGTCACGAGCCTGGCCCAAAATCTTCCAAAACCCATCAGTAGGTGCATATATTACCATCACCCTTCAGTAGGTGTACCTTCTGAGTATCCTCAGTAAATACTCACCAACCTAGCATCCCTCAGTAGATGCTAAACCCAAATATAACAATGTTCCAAAGTTTCAAATTACCTCACCAAAAATAAATAAATTCAAAGAAATTAATATTCTCAAATCACTGGGTGCCTCCCAGCAAGCGCTCTTTTAACGTCATTAGCTTGACCCAATAAAGCTCCAGTTCCATCTTTAGTGTTGGTGTTCTTCTTGCTTTCATCACACCAACTCCTCAATTGCTTCATGTCCACCTTCTTGACTCTTTTTGAATATGGAGCTTCAATTTCTATCACTTCATTCTCTTTGAAGTCTTTCATAACCCATAACTTGTTCTTGAATCTTACCGGTGCGCCAAGTTTGAATTGTGCATCCATCAAGTCATCATGAACTATCCTTCCTTTGCCATCTTTTTCTTCTTCCCTAACCTGTGAAAAGAAACAATTTTTACCTTTTGTGACCGGCTTTGCAGCTTTAGGGCTAGTCACCATTGCATCCTTACATGCAACTTTATGATTAATCTCCTTCTCTTGAATCTGCTGCTCAGCTTCGAAGACATTAAAGATCACCTTTTCTTCTTGGTCTTGAAGCGATATCAACCCATCATCTACATTAATGATTACTTTTGTCGTTTTCGCAAACAGCCTTTCAAGAATAATTGGAATCTTCTCATCTTCCTCTCATCTCCATCCACCAGGAACTTAAGTTGCTCTATACAAACCACAACATCTTCCACTACACCATAGGGTTTCTTGGAGGATCCATCTGTCATGAGCAAAGTCACCTTGGTTGGCTTGACTTCAAAATCACCAATTCTTTCGAGCATGGATAAGGGCATCAAATTAATGCTTGACCCTAAATCAATTAAGGCCTTCCTTATATTCTCCTTCCCAATGACGCAAGGAATATTAAAACTTCCTGGACCTTTCCCTTTTGGAGGAAGTGGTTTCTTCAAAATAGCTCTGCAATCTCCCTGTTCATCACTAGTTTCCTGCTTTAGATATCTCCTCTTTGCGAGGATTTGCTTCATGTGCTTTGCATAAGCAGGAATTTGTTGCAGTGCCTCAGTCAAAGGTATTTTAATCTCTAATTGCTTGAAGATCTCTTTAAAACGTTTATGTTGTCTCTCTTTATCAAAATTTTCACTCCCCTTAGGATAAGGAAGAACTCTTTCACTTTTCTCACAATTTTTCTCTCCCCTCTTCTTTTCTTTCTATTTTATCTCATCCTCACCTTTTCTCTCTTCTTTTTCTTTCCTCTTTTCTAACTCAACTCTCTCTTTCTTTTCGTCCACCCTCTCATCACATGTACTCACAATAGCTTTACACTCTTCCTTAGGGTTAACCTCAGTATTAGCCCCAAAACTCCTGTCAGGCATATCCT